TCCTTTCAGTTTTATAGCTACAGTCAATAAGCTTTAATCTTAAACTAAATCATTGTACTTTAGTTTGTTGAAACTTTTTACAGTTGAAAATGGAACTTTCAAGGGTATCAACATTGTATACCAGGCCACTCTGTTTCAATAGCATTAGAGTCAAGAGGTATATCATTGAAAATGGATATTGGCAAGCCTTTACAATTAGGGTATCGATTGACTCTTCAAAATAAAATGCTTTTCGGGGGTTTCATTAGAAGCAGGCAACAGGCGATTTTCACCAGTTGTTTTCATAAAATCGCCTGCTGTTTTTAGGTACCTTTTAACTTTTCGATGTTAAAATTATGATTTCCATTAACTTTGCCAGTTGTTTTCATTCATCTAAACCCTGTTATAAGATATTCTAGTGAAACCCCTGCATTTGATTATTTCTCTTTATAAACCTATTGAAGCACTAAACTTGAACTTGAAACTTTTTTTTCTAAAATTAAGCATATCTGTAGCACATAAAACTAGATGATGGTAACTCCAAGGACATCTTGTCAGACAAGACTGAGCCAGCCATCATTTTTCAAAATGACAACCATACTAGATATATTGACATGAACATAATATGTCATACTTGAATTTATATAAAATTTCAAGAAATTTGATCTTTTACTTTCAGAGCAAAATGCAAAATGACATGTACAAAACCAATGCTAGAATAGCTGCCTTCTTTGAGAAATATTTAATAAAGACAATTTACAATGCTTCCAAATATTTCATAAAAGGACTCATATAAAAATGGCTTTAACCTTCATTCCACATATAAACTATGATATTATCAGCTTCACACCTGTAAAATCATCTATAAACCTCAGTCAGAGGGAAGTGTAACTTATCAAAGGATCAGGCAGGGTAAGGTTGCTACTGTCAAGTTGTCATCTTGGCTGCACATCAAATTGCTACCAAAACAAAGCTGTGAAAACATGGTAGGTCACTCACCAGGGTTTTAAAAACAATGAGATCAAAATGTTTTGATAGAATAATAGTAAAATGTATTGGATCTTGATATTTCATTATTATATCACTTGGTGTTAACAGATTCATACATAATTTTGTATTTTTTGGACAAATGACACACCTTTAATCATAATTTTAGATTTCAAGCATAATTAAAGTCAGGCCTCTCTCTGAAACGCAATCTTAGGTTGTTCCCAGGGTCCCTGGTAATATTTTGTGCTTTAATGAGAAAATATACAATAATGAACAAATGGAGCAAATACTGTGAAGAAATACTCACGATAAAGATGTTATTTTGACGATTGTTCATTCAATTGCTCAGAGGTTCGCCGGTAAACAAATTTCTTCGAAGATTTCTAAATTTTGAATGTCACGTGACTAACTAAAAAGAAGTTTAGATAAATTCCCTTAAATCACAACCATGTATAACCAATGCCTGGTTAGTACAGTGGCAGAGTGCTCGCCTGTCAATAATGATCTGGGTTCGAATCCCGGCAACATCTCTTTTAATTTTTTAAGTTAATGGTTATGCTTTGATTTTACGCTTAAAAATCATTTATATCTACGTCAAATTTATATTTATTTAGCATTTATTATCCCTTCAGTCGTATGAAAATGGAAAAATAATTTATGTTCACATATTGCGTTTTGGAGAGAGGTATAGGTTTAAATGCATTAAATTTGTTACCATCTGCCATTTATTACAGACACCAAACACCAACCACTGAACACTAACCAATGAATACCAAACACCAATTAAATATATATTTCAAGGTCTTTTCTTTCTACCTTGAAAAATGAACTACTAGAATTACTGGAATACTTAGTTTGACCTCCCACATGTCTTCAGTTTAATAAAACATCTAAAGGATTTGTCAGCCTTATCCTGGCTGCAAAGCTGAGGACCTCCAACATCTATTGAGTTCCATGCACCAAATGAAGAAAACCTATCTTTAATAATACTCCAATACGCGATAAAGTTTAGTTTTAGTTCAGTTTAGTTACCTCTCGCTTGAAGAGCTCTCATGAAGAGTACAACTTTGTCTACATCTGGGTTCTTTCTCATTGGATAACACAGGGGTGCGATTTTTCCGATTGTCCCTTACAAAGCGATGCATCATGGAAGATATTAAGGTAAATTACCACCTGAACTCTTATCGCGAATAGGAGTATAATCTGATTATAAGAATGCAAATATAAGACACACATGAAGACAAGATGAATCTCTCATTCTTCTAGCAAAATCTCACATCAAGCAGATCCCCTCTAAGTAGCCTAATTATAATGATGATAAAGAACCATATGCCATTATTACAGAACTAAACTGTGAAGTAATTGGTGACTCACTGCAAATATAGCACAACAGATAAAGAAAAACTGTCACTACTAATATCTTATGAATATTGATTAATTTAGTAAATTGGCTTTAATATGCAACAATCAGACACATTAATTAGCAGATATATATTAAAATGTGTTTATTTGTTCCTAGATCAAAGTATGTTTCCCTGTTTGTCAGCTGGCTAAATTTTAAAGTGTTATTTATAGTACTATTTCAAGTATGGTTAAATACAAATGCTTCTTAAAATACTTAACTGAAATCAACTGATGGTTATTTCGGTTTATTTTGTTCATTAGACTGTTTTCAAATTGATGGAATTAATAATAATTCATTTATAAGGTGGATTGGATTGAGTGGATTGGATTCATGTAAAAGGTGGATTGGATCTTCAAAATATGGATTTTCCTTAAAAAATTTATAATGATCTCCCATCAGACGATTAACCTAATGCTCTCCTCACTTCCACAATGTCAAATAATAGAAATTATATTATTTTGCTTGGGTAGGCTAGAAAGGTGATCTTATACACAATCTTATTCATTCCAAGGGTAATTTTAGACATTTCACAAATCATAAGGCAGACTTTTGAAGTCGAAGATCCATATCATCTGTTTTCAATTCAAACAGAACATGGCAGAAATGTCTTGGGAACACCCACACGTCAATTTGAATGACAGCTCTTATCTACAGATCTTTGTTTATTATGTCTTTCTAATGTTGATTTACAAGGGAGAGCAGTTGAATACTTTAGAGTATCTATCAACTAATTGAAGATGTATTTGTAATTGCTTTGTCGATTCCTTAAAGGGACCCATGTAATCACAAAATACTTTAGGCCAGAGGAAATTGCTTAGAGGGAGATCAACTAAAAAATCTATATTTTGAAGATTCCCGATCCAATCCACCTTTTACATGAATCCAATCCACTCGATCCAATCCACCTTTTAATCTCTACCATCTACAGAGGATTCAAAAAGAGCCAAGTGTTGACAGACATTGGTTTTTAAACTTGCCACTATCTTGGACTGACTGAGAGACAGATGCCATGGACAAATCAATGTTAACTAAAATGGCTGAAAATAAAAAACGGATATGATTTTTTGCCGATTTTTTGTTAAAAAATTATTTCATAAAACTATTCTTTACAGTGACATGGCTTTGAACAATACGGGACACCTGAAATAATTTGTAAAGCTAGGAAATGGCTCAAAGGTGAATTTTGGCGAAACAAAAATGGCGGCCATTTTGAAAATAGGCGAGCTTTTGAACCAGGAGTCATAGGGGAGTTTTTTGAATTGATGTTGAACAAAAATAACTTAAAACGGGAATCCTATCGACAGAGGTTTTAACACAAATGGTCCAAAAGTCTATTTCGTGAGACAGATGGACAAATCAATGTTAAGTAAAATGGCTGAAAAAAAAAACGGATATAATTCTCTGCTGATTTTTTGTAACAAAATTATTTCATACAACTACTTAGAGTAAATGCCAGGTAATGCCTGACAGGTTCTGATCAATAAATATGATAGAAAAATATGAAAATATGCCCAAAATTATACCTTTTCCAAATGAGATATTTTTGAGAACCTATAAAGCATTTTAATTTTGTATCCCTATGTCATCAAGTAGATGAGTAAAGCTGATCTATACTTCCTTGAATACCAATACCTACACCCATACTATTATTTGGAGGAGGAGGATTGGGGTTAAGCTATGTTGAAATTAATTTTGTTTTTCCACAACTGTCAGTATTTGATATGTTTGAGTATACCCTGTGCGCATAGTCTAGAGTCCATTTCACTGCTTCATTTCGTCAGTAGAACGGCAAAAATAAGAAATTGGGAGACCATTGTGCAATAATATATGGAAAAGTATATTCATAATGTACATGAATGACATTTGTATATTTCAGATTTTTTAGTTTTTTGTGCAATAAGCCTGTGCCGTCTTGTAATTTGAAAAATTTCAGCCATGTTAATCTTATTGAAAATAACATGGCAGAGAAACATCCAAATATAAGAGGCCACACACTTTATAAGCCAAACTAGAAGCAATCCAAGATATACAAGTGTCATTCATGTACATTATGAATATACTTTTCCATATATTATTGCACAATGGTCTCCCAATTTCTTATTTTTGCCGTTCTACTGACGAAATGAAGCAGTGAAATGGACTCTAGTTATAAACTAGAAGCCCTCTTTTAAGAAGTGAAGTGTGCTTGATGTGCTTGAGTATCCATGTATATGTTTGATGTATTTGAGTATGGGGTCTGTATACATTTGATGTGTTTGAGTGTGGAACCTGTCTGTGTTTGATGTTTGATTCTTCCAGCGTTGATTTTCGTAATCCCACTTAGACGAATCACCGAGGACAATCCCCTGTCTTTGGTAGATTCGACGTTGCAATTCTTTGTCCTGCCATTCCTTAGTGATCAGAAAGGTAAAGAATGACAAGACACTTCGAATGAGGTATAGATCTAATATATCATATTTTTCTGAAATGGCTTCACAATTGTCATTTGAAATTTCCTTAGCTGACATGTCTTCCGATTATTCTTTGAGCTTCTGATCCTCCTACAAAAGAATCTGACTGGGATCTATGATGACAATCTCATGAAAATACAAATACTGAGCCCTGAAAGAAATTGGAGAAAACTTACATTTGGGTCCCATCAGATTCACTGTCTGAGCTGCTACTGGTGGACGTTGCACCATTGTTATTTCCTTGATCATCGTCGAGGGAATCCTCGGAATCACTGGTCTCTTCATAATCCTGCAAATTGACATTGTCGCCAAAGTTAGGGTAGGCTAAAGCTTCTGGCTCCGATAACTCTCTCTCTAATCCAGAATCGAGTTCGGTCTCAAAAATATCCGAGTCAAAATCTGTGATTTCGTCTGAATCTTCAAAGCGCACAAGGGAATGGATCTGGTTTAAATTGTTAATACCCTCTAAGGAACTTGAACTGTCCTGTTCTGACATGATTTATAGGGTATATAGGAACAATTTCAAAGAAATAAGACTGTAAACAAAAATTCTGGCATTCCGGACTCCATTTTGAATAGTTTGGGAAATGTCACGTGACATTTATCAAAAGGTGGCGCTTGCAGTACAATCATTTATTATTGCCTTCAAAAATTGAGGCTGTACCTGCCTGCGAAGTTGGGAAATCTCCGCTTACTTTGGCCATTGGCTTTCGAGAGAACGGTATGCAACTCTGCATTATTCGCTCGTGCTGAGGCAAGAGCCATATCTCACTTGGGTTTAGTAGTAAGTGTTAACGACAATGGACTCAGGTTAAACGTTAGTTTACCGAAGACTCTGACTCTAGTAGAAAACATGAAGTTTAACCCTAAGGTGTTAGTTTTTAATAAAATTGCGTTAGAGAGGGTTTCAAAAGACATGCATATACGCACATTTTACTAAAACACCATGAAAACTGCGCACTGATGTTCGGCAACTTGAACATGATTTCTTAAATACGACAGAAAATACGAGCGACTTCTTGATTTAGAATTGTGAACAATTTACAGCATTAAAAAAACTCCGAACATTTAACTATTTTATTAATACCTTCAGAGAACGAGAATCAAATTGACCCATCTTCACTTTTTGATATGTTTGGATGTTTTCTAAGAGGTCCAGGTACTCAGACCTTCACAATTTCCAAGATCATCTCCTTCACACGAGCCTTCATTTTTTAAAATGATCTCTTGTTCAACTTCTGGTGGTCGGAAGGGTTATTTGCTAATCACATGTCTCCTCGACAAAGGGGTTCTGACCGGTAGAATGACAAATACGTTTATGAATTTTGATAACTACGTACTGCTTCGTACACTTCTTCCTAATTGCTTCAAACGTCAACAGTCAGCCAAGTACTACATATGAATATCACACCCATCGAATGGTATAGGCTCGAAATAAGTAACACAAACCTCTTATTCCCATTATCGGGGAAATAGCCAGACGGCTCATCACGACTATGATTCCCGCCCGCCATTTTTCCTACGCCGCGGAGCGTTTCTTTGTTTAGTTTTAGTAATGAAACGCTCCGTCATGCATGTAAGAGCGTTTGGGTTGGACACCGTGCAAAAGGAGCCTATCGTCCTGAAATGTATTATATAATAGGGCTCCATATGGAGCCCGTCGACTTGAAAGGGTTAATATTGATACTACGTTGGTACCAGCTGGGATCCAGGATTTTGTGTTTGGGGGGGGGGGGCGCTTGATATTAGAGGGAAGCAAACCATGACGAGTGAGCGTAGAGAACGAGGGCAAGAATCGGGGATCTAGGAGCCGTTCTCCCCGAAATTTCGAAAATTGAACATAATACGTTGCATTCTGAGCAACTTGAAAGCACAATATTCTGCACATAAAATCATTACTCTGTAAATTTCTTTCAAGACTTTGGTTTTTTTTTGGGGGGGGGGCAGTGGCGTACTGAACAATGTGCGCCAAAACGCCAGTGGGTAGTGTTAAAAAGTGAAAAAAAGCTTATTGATTTTCTTAGTTCTCTGATCACATTTTCTAATTGTGGCATAAATTGTAAAGAACAGCCTAAAAAAGTTTTTTGGATACCACATGTTATGCTCGATAAAATATTGAAGTTACCCTGTTTCTAATACTTTAGAAAACGCAAAGTGGTCATTATTGCTCTGTTTGGTAAATAATCTTTGAACAGATTGAATTCCTGTTTCAACATTCTTTATTTCATAAAAATCGAGCACTATTGACTATCTTATGAACTTTAAAAATAAACTACAATTTCGTGAATCGCGTTCTTTTTACGAATTTGAGAGAAAAACAGTTTTGTACATCTTGCCCGGCTTTTTGATGAAAATCATTGCAATTTTGTGCATGTTCCGTAATGCTTATTTATATATTTTCTTACTAAATAACTAATTGTTATTGGTAGAACTTCTTGAAATATGAATGTTTAAAACAAAAACAACTTGAAATTGTTTATTTGACAATGACAATTTGGCTAGTGAGCGGCCAATTTGAAAAATGGCTGTCATTTTTATGCTTGTTATGGCATAGGCTATTGTACCACCTGTGCCCGGCCCCAGACGCTATTTCGAGTCAAAATCTTGCTGATTTTAGGCCTCATGAGAGTACAAGTTCTGCCAAAAAGCGGTAAATCAGCATTTGAGAACTTGAACTCACGCAAGGCATACAAAATCTGCAATAATTTGGTAGAGCGGGTGCCATAGTCCATGCCATAACATGCATTAAAATGGCCACTCACTAGCCAAATTGTCATTAGAAAGTGTATCAATTATGCTTATGAGTAAACACATACCAAGTACAACAAAATAGCTCCACTACTTTTTCCAGACACAGTAAAAAACCACCATTTTTCAAGATGGTTGCCATGTTTTTTTTAAATAATTAGATGTTTAACTTAATCAATAACTTTTATAATTTTCTGCATTTAAAACATAATTACCTGATTACCATTACAGTTTTATGTGTTCTGTCTAAAATACAATAAAATTGACACAAAAGACAGCCATTTTTAAACTAGCAGCCATTTTCAAAAAACGGCTTTTTGAGAAAACGTGTACTGGGATGAGGCATATAAATCTGCAAGAATTTGACTATTTAGTGTCCCAGAGCCTATTGCATGGGGGTGCCATAGCCTATGGCATAGTGTATGCCATGGCACGGTGCTTTTGAAGAATATCATCAACAAGGTTCCTTGTCATCAATTAAATGTAATAAATAAACGTCCGTTTTCTAATAAAATGTGAAAGTCCTATATAACGAAAGTGAGCGTATTTGGCCGTTTTTAGGAATTCCATTCCAAAATAAATGTCACAATAAATGCCTCCTGATATTGATGACGTAATATTCTAGCCCGCTCCTCTGGCCCAATCCAATTTAATATAATGTAATACCCCTAACAACAATAGCTTTGGAGAAACCCCCAAACTGTTAGTGGATTCCCGGAATTATTTCACTCTTGTATATAACAGTACATTAAGGTGCCATGGAAGTTAACAGGAAATGACGAAACAGGAAGTGACAAAATTTTTGCATTTTTAGACATTTTTGAACAAGGATATTAGAGTTCTGGTTTGACCTCCAGTCAATTTAACAATTTCCACATATCATTTACATGACCAGGATCACAATGTGCATGGTCAGAATGACCCTAAACATGATGAAATAACCTTTTTAGCCCTTTGAAAGCGTGACTGAAAAAAAGCTAAAAGTAGGCGTTTAAGAAAGGTCACTGAACAGAATCTTTTGATTTTTTCAGAAAATGTGCCTAATATAATGGTCTAACTGATACAATCTTTGAAATTTTAGAAAATTGTCTTAAACAAAAATGGCGGTCATAAAAAGGAAAATAGATAGCTTTCAAATAAGTTTTTTTCATTTTTTTTCTTTTTCTATGAATGATATCAAATTTTCAAAGATTGTATCATTTAGAACAATATATTGGGCACATTTTCTGAAGAATTCAAAAGATTCTGTTCAGTGACCTTTCCTACCTCCTACTTTTAGCTTTTTTTCAGTCACATTATCATAGGGCTGAAAAGGTTATTTCATCATGTTTAGGGTAATTCTGACCATGAACATTGTGATCCTGGACATGTAAATGGTATTTAGAACTAGTTGAATTGACTGGAGGTCAAAACAGAACTCTGTTATCTTTGTTCAAAAAATGTCTAAAAATGCAAAAAATTGTCACTTCCTGTTTTGTCATTTCCTGTTAACTTCCATAGCACCTTAACTCTAATTGGGTATAATGAGCGTTCTATCACATTGCAAAACAAATATATGATAATAATAGCGTATGATGCTTTATGTTTATGTGTTTTTGAACCGTTATATAAATAGAACGCAATATTCACACTTGCATGCAAAATGTTCAGCGTCGTGAAATTCGAACACTATAAGGAAACCTCTTGGGAAATAAGATATAAATTATTTGAACCGATACATGAAGCTTAAAACTGATACGTACTAGCGTTCGATTACAGCAATTACTCGGCGGTGTTCATTGGTCAGTCTCAACAGACCACCTTACGTCTGATCACGTGGTTAGACCCCTATGAGTATTCATTATACAAAAAGAACAAAGGAATTTTGGAAGTTGAACAATGCCGATACGTTAAAACGAAAATAACACAATATATTATAAAAGTTGCTGTTATTTGACGTTATGTAGACAAAATGAATACGCAGAGCACGAACTATTGTGCCGGCATATGCTCGATCGGGATAATTTCATGACTGGATTACTATAGTCACATTGAAAGAAGTGAAGAAAAGTATGCATGAGTGAAAGTACCAAGGTAAAGTAAGCAACAGTAATAAAATGTAACAAGTGTCTAAAACCATTACAATGGCAGTTGTTCCAGACACAAAAAACTAAGTAAGAAGTGAAAAAACAAACTACCACGCAGCAGAACGACGACACGGATACTTTCTATGGTACGTATGGGTATTATGTTATTGGAAACTGCGTATATATAAAAACTCCTGGATTGTTTGTAGAAACGTACATAGAACTTGGACTAAACTTATTCTCAAGGATGGATCCACATTCATTCTTTTTATCACTTATCATCTAGTGAGAGAATCGAGGCCTCAAAAAATTCTGGTATTTCAAAGACAAAAAAGGAAGTGACAAAAAACGTGGCATTTTTGACATTTTTGAACAAAGATAACGGAGTTCTGTTTTGACCTCCAGTCATTTCAAATAGTTACACATATCATTTACATGACCAGGATCACAATGTTCATGGTCAGAATGACCCTAAACAAAATGAAATAAAATTTTCAGCCCGCTGAAAATGTGACTTAATAATAGCTAAAAGTAGCCCTCAGAAAAGGTCACTGAACAGAATCTTTTGAAATTTTCAGAAAATGTACCCAATATCATGATCATAATAATACACGATTCAATCATTTACTGATTACTACATCGCGGGTTAGTATGCATAGTAAAAGATAGAAACAGTGTTAGAGTAAAAGGTAAAGTTAAAATCGGTTTAAAAACAGTTACACAACAGTAAGAGTTAAGGTTCAGCTGGAAAGTAACATTTTGGTAAAAAATTGCTATACC